AAGACAATGACTCATGAGTGTGTTATGATGAATAGGAATGTATACAACGCCTGGTTCATCATTGTTGCTGCCCCTCCTGACCCTGCTCATGTAAAGATCTGGATTAGGAGTTCATTATAATACACAAAGCCTACACACCAAGGAGGACATTATAGAGCAGAGGCATGGTCTTACAAAAGTACAGCTTCTTTAAAAAGGCCAGTGGTCTGCCATACAAATCTGCTTAGTGCTCCTGACCAGGGGTCTCCAAACTATGGCCCTCCAGGTGTTCTGGACCTGAAAGTCCCATGAGGCCTTGCAAGACTGACAGCCGCAGGCAAGACTCCCAGAGGCAGAGGCATAATGGGACTTGTAGTACTTCAACAGCTGGAGGGCCATAGTTTGGAGACCTTCTAAATGGAAGATCTGAAAAAAGAAAGCCGGGAGGTGAGACCTATCATATGACCTGTCGAAGACGTTTGACCAACAGCAACTCTAATCGCAGAGTTTTCTTAGCGGTGTAAGGCGTAGTTTACATTTGCAATTGGTGGGGGAGGTATTAAAAACAGGCAGTAGAGTCGCATGTTACCAACTCCCAATCCACAGTCTCAGTGCTCAAAATCTATGAAATACGCCATAAACACCATCACATATAAAAAGAATTACAATAAATCTCACCAAAATTCATAATAGAGTCCACAATCTCAGTGCCACAAAAACTATACATTTAAATATATAAAATTATATATGCTATATCATGCTGTGTCCATTCAAATTTCTGTAGATTTCATAGAATACTTCCACACCAGTTAGATCCACAATCACAGTGCTACTGATCTACGAGCATACCTAAAGTGCATTAAATGGTAATGTGTATGTCCCCAAAAAATAATAAAGTCCACGATTTCAGTGCCAAAATCTTTATCACTATTAATAGTGTGCATAGTTCAATGAATGTGAGTCCACAATCTCGGTGCTGTAAACTCTCTCCTGCAATCACACAATTATTTTATCTTGACATTCTTTGTGTTCTTGCAATATGTGCTTGTCACTTCACTTTGCACATTCACTGTGCTCGCAACACGTCGGGGGGAGCTGGGTGACATCACTTCCGGTCATCCTGGCCTGCTACACTTCCAGGAGGCACGGGTGACATTACCATGCCTTCCTGGAGTGCATCCTGAAACAATGCACTCAAGCCCATTGAAAAGTGCCTTCTACCAGGATTTCGAGCTTCCAGCTGTCCCTGGAGGGCATAGTGAGACACGGTGACATCATTAGGTGATCTGTTTGTTTGCAATGTATGGGGGGCTTTAAAAAAAAAAACTTTCTTTTTGGCATGCAAAGCAAAGATAGCTCCGGTGTTCTTCATGCAGTGTGCATTTTATGAATGGGCTGCAAAACGCAGGGCCTGGTGTGACATTTCTTCTTCCTGTTATAAATGAGCCTCTGAGTATACCAGTGTAAAGGATGGGAGTTGTAAAGGACAGGTGCTCGCCATTACAATATTCAAGGGGATATTTATAAAGCAGTGAATGTGACTTTCAACAAATATTCACTGGGGGTAATTCAATCACTGTCATTTAACCCTTTTGCTGCCATCAACGTAAGACTTATGCCGGTAGTGGTGGTGGCTTTTACACATGTCTGGTGGCTTTTATATACACTCTCAGCCAACTGTTGTTTTAGCACTGGGAAATACTTTTTTTTTAAAGAAAAGTAGTGCATTTAACATACAACTATATAGATCAGAACAAAATGAGGGACAAATGAGGAGAAAAGGGGGAAAGAGGGACTTTGTTCCAAATCAGGGACAGTCCCTCGAAATCAGGGACAGTTGGGAGCTATGCCACCCCCCCCCCCGTCCCCGCTGTATTTACCTCCATGGGTGATGAGCTGTCATGGCCTACATAGTGAGCGTTGGGGATTTGAATTCCCCACTTTTCTTCTCCTTATTTCTGTAGAGCTTCTAGGACAGAGCAGAGCAATTCTGAAAGGTCAACATTGGCATGTGACAACTTTGACCAATCAGAGTTACTCTGATTTTTTATGGAAGCCCTACAGAAAGAAGGGGCCGATACACTAGCTGCATGACAGATCATCAGACTTAGGGATAAGTGTATGGGGGGGTAAATCGGGAAGGGAGGGTCGGGTGTTAACCCACCTCTATATTTTTTCTGAAAAGGTGAATTAGCCCTTTAGGTCACTTCCTGGTTTCCAGCAGTTATTCTCTGGCCAGGACAGGAAATAATGGAGCATGATCTGTACTCCATCAGCTTCAGTGGAGTGCAGGGGAAACATCATGGGTCTAATACACCCCTGATGTCTTATTAAAGAGAACCTTTCGCTGTAAAAATACTATCATCTAGGGGCTACTGGCCCCTTATGTGATGGCCACGGGCGGGACTGACCATTTGGAAACTCGGGCACTGCCCGAGGGCCCAGGGTCAGTAGAGGGCCCCATGAGATGCCCCTGGTACCTTTTTCATAGGCTTTTTTGAGTTTGGGCAAGGACACAGGGGCCCCATGATCCCCTATTGCCCGGGGGCCCCATGAGTTGTCAGTCTGCCCCTGGTGATGGCAATAAATGTGAAAAAATTATATAAAATGGTGGCACCCTACCCGTGCCACCATTGGCGGCTACAGCTGTCGATCACCGGGTCCCGGCTGGAGATTCTCTGCCGCCACCTGGTGATTGCCGAGTATTACTGACGGGGGGAGAGGTCTGTGTGTAAACAATACAGATCTCTTCCCTGTCAGCTCCAGCATGCTGCTTTGTGTTGCTCTGCATTTGCAAATCACATGCGATTAATGTGCAGTGCAATTTTGTATGGCATCCGCACCAAAAAAGTGCAGGACGCTTTTTTTTGTCCGCACCAGAATCGGATCGCACGGGTATTCACACCCATGCAGTCTAATTCTGCACATCGCACTGTGTTTTGTGAACCAATTTCAGGGTGTTGTTAACTTAACCCCTCCAGAGGATTTACCCCCGTTCCTGACCAGACCGATTTTTGTGATACTGCGCTGCATTACTTTAACTGACAAATGCGCGGTCATGCAACACTGCACCCAAATGAAATTGATGTCCTTTTTTTCCCCACAAATAGAGCTTTCTTTAGGTGATATTTGATCGCCTCTGCGGTTTTTATTTTTTGCACTATAAACAAAAAAAGACCAACAATTTTGAGAAAAAAAACATACTTTTGACTTTTTGCTATTAACCATTTCCAGTAAAAAATTAAAAAAAAATCAAATTTCGTCATTAAATTTAGGCCAAAATGTATTCTGCGACATGTGTTTGCTAAAAAAATTCCAGTACTTGTAAATTATTTGTAAATTATCTGTAAATTATTACGCGAAAGCTATAAAATCTACAAATGGCGATATATATACTGACATTTAAAAAACAAAATTTTTACTAGTAATGGCGGCGAACAGTGACTTATAGCGGGACTGCGGTGGGCATTCTGATACTGGGGGGGGGTGGGGGGGGGGGGGGGGGGGGGGGGAACTGACTACCTTTCACTGACATCTCCAGTGACACCAATACAGTGATCAGTGCTAATAAAAAAACACTGACACTGTACTAATAGCACGGGTCAGGAAGGGGTTAACATGTGGGGCGATCAAAGGGTTAACTATGTGCTGTTTTACTGTGTGAATGCTGTACACTGTAAGTGCACTGCTTTGTATGGCTCTTCCATGCAGAGCCATACAAAGCAGTGTGCAGGAGCTGACAGGAGAGAGATCTGTATTGTTTACATACAGACCTTTCCCCTGTCAGTGATACTTGGCGATTGCCGGGTGCCGGTGATCAACAGCTGAGGCTGCAATGGCGGCGCAGGTAAGGCGCGCATGCGGTGCGTGTGCGCCCCCTACCCGGAAATGCGAAATCACATATATATATACGTGGTTTTGAGCAGCCATGGTGCTCTGTAGCAGTATTTTTGCTATAGGGCAGCGGGAAAGCGGTTAACATACACACCCGCAGTGGTTCGCATGAACTGGGTGCGATCAAGATGCAGTGCAGAAATCGCACAGAAACCGGTGTGAATTCCGTGTTAACCCGGGCTCAAAGTGTGCAAAAAAATACGAACACAGCTCTGGTGGCAAAAAAGGTTAAAACATATGCACCGGGACGATTTACCTGCAGTGAATGTTTGGCGAACCTCAGATTCACTGTTTTTAGAACATGGCACCATTGTTCGGCTAATCAGCATACCATTCAGGCATCTTGCCGTTTAGACAGGCCCCATATTCCTCTCAGGACTGATTTACTTTAAAGTGCAAATTTCACAATATAAGCAGACAAGTTTTTGGGTTTTTTTTTCCCTTTGCAACTGCACTTTTGTGACAAAAGAGAACGACCAGCAATGCTGGCTTTGTAACAATACCCCCCCCCCCCACCACCACCACCAGGAACTGCATTTTATCTTCAGAGGTCATCAGCTCTCAGCTGTACAGCCTATGGCCATTGCTGTATGCAAAATCCCCCACATATAGAGGAATGATGAAGGGGTGAAATAGCATTCCCTGTTACCCTAAGCGGTTTCCACAGCATTTTGCAGAAACACAGTACAGTCCATTTAACATGATTTCCTATGGGACAGGTTCACACCTCCGCGGCTTCACCCGGTAAGTTTCTTTGGGAAGGGTCAGGGAATTTTTTGAATGCAAAAAGTTGCGTTTTTGGTTCTATAGACGTCAATGGAAACACTGCAGAAAAGCATATGCTGCGTTTTTGTTGCATTTTAGCCACGTTTTTAATGCGTTTTGCGTTTTAAATCTGCTTAGCGTGAGATATATTTGACCTTGAATTGGCCATGATTTATGTCATCTTAACTGCCAATTGTTGCAGCAGACTTTGTTGTTTTGATATTTCTAACTGTATATACGATGGAACGTTGTTCATTGATATTGTTTGTTTTGCTTATGTCTTTTTCCTTTGTAAAACTATTCAATAAAAAAGATTGAAGCATAGATCTGCCTAGCAACAAGAGAAAATGTTTTTTAAAAACCACAAAACGCATCAAAAAATGTGGTAAAAACGCAGGTGCAAAAACTCAAAACGCAAATGCAAACTGCATAGGTGTGAACCTAGCCTTAATGGGAGCAGTAAGAACATCACACTGGAACAGGGGCGGACTGACAACTCATGGGCCCCTGGGCAGTAGGGGATCATGGGGCCCCTGTGTCCTTGCCCACACTCAAAAAAGCCTATAAAAAAGGTACCAGGGGCATTTCATGGGGCCCCTACTGACCCCGGGCCCTCGGGCAGTACCTGAGTGCTTAAATGGTCAGTCCGCCCTTGCACTGGAATACTCAAACAAGGATAGAAACGGGAATCTAACATCACCTAGCCCTTTCCTCCCCAGCCTTACTGACCCTGGCCTATCCCTTCTATTCAATGGAATTCAGTTCTTTCATGGAGGCTCAGCATCACATGTGGGCAGTGCCGGGACAAGGAGTGGGCAGAAGGGGTGGCTGCCTTGGGTGCAATACCTTGCTGTAGAGAATGGGGGCGCCTTCCCTCTGTTACAAGGGACAGGAGTAGTGACAGTGATTTTGACAAGCAAGTGACTGCATGACGTAGGATTCACTAAGCTTGCACATCATGAACTAGATGGGGGGGGGGGCGCAGTTTGGCATCTTTGCCCTGGGTGCTGGAAGGCCTTGTCCCAGCACTGCATTTGGGCATTACCTAAGATGGCCTGCTTGCAAATACAACCTCCCCTGGAATGCCTACTCCTTCAGACTGACATCAGCCCATTAAGGCTTTTTGATATTTGTATAATTTCATCCAAGAGCCAGCCCACTGCTTGTATCAGGGCCAGGGGCGGACTGATCATTTGGAAATTCGGGCACTGCCCGAGGGCCCGGGGGTCAGTAGATGAGATGCTCCATGAGAGGCCCCTGGTACCTTTTTCATAGGCTTTTTTGAGTTTGGGCAAGGACACAGGGGCCCCGTGATCCCCTATTGCCCGGGGGCCCCATGAGTTGTCAGTCCGCCCCTGATCAGGGCTGAGAATTCTTGAGAATGAGCGCTGAAGCAGAACGCTGTGATGTTTCCGCACCCTGCCAGCCCCTCCCACCAGCCATCATCTAAGGGTATCTATGGTGCATTAAGGGTTAAAACCATAGGGCTAGGCCTTTGTACAACTCAGCTTGAAAGTCCAAGTAAAGTCCAATGTGGAGTCTAAGGAAAAGGCTCCTATGGTCAGCTTCAAACTTGTCACTGCTATCCAAAAGTTAGAAGCAAAATCTAGAAACAGAATGCAAGCCGAAAAAGGGATGCGCCATCTAAGTGCAGCAAACCAACAATTTTTTATTAAGCTCACAAATTGGCAACTCACATGTTAAAGTTGTTGTTTTTTGCCAATTTATGAACCTAATAAAAAATTGTCAGTTTGCTGCACGTAGATGGCGCTTCCTTTTTTCTGCAGCCATGATCTGCCGGGCACAGAGACCCAGCGATGATGTCACTGGGCCAAAAATAAGGTATAGGTTTTCCTTACAAAAATGTAATTAGAATGTTGGTAAGGGAGATAGAGAGGAACAATGGAGGGCAGCTTTAGCTTTTAAATCTCCCAAGAGAAAAATAATAAAGTTGCCTGTTGTAGCGCAAGCTTAGATCATTCGTTTTCATTTGAAGCATTGGGCACTGTATCATGTTCACAGACAAAAAAAAACTTTTTAATTTAAACTGAAGCTAGCAGGTGCATAAATGTCAGGTGTGAGCATGGCAGCAAGACACTCTATAGAGAGCATAATTACAACCGTCACGGAGTGACATGTGTAATCCACAGCACTGTGTATCTGTCAACCTGCACATAGCATTTCACATCAAATCAACCAAGAAAAACATTTAAGTGTCACTCTTACTGAGGGCCGTTCAATCGGCTGCACATGATACCGTAATCAGTGATTTCTATTTTTGCTGCCAGGTAATTTACCTTCCCCTCCACCCAATCATCTGTCCATCTATCTATCACCCATGAACATTGGAACAAAGAAAACTGAAATGAAAATCGGCAGCGTTGTTCCTCACACTGAAACAGGTTCCTTGTTCATTCTAAAGCTGGCCATACACTTCACAATCTTGATATTCAATGTCTGCACAATCTCCTTCAGATTCATCAAATTTATGTAAGGGCTTAAACTATCCATCCAATCTTTATTCAATCAGCAAGACAATTCACTATCTATAATTGCTATTGTTTATGTTCATTATATACTGTATACTGTATATACTTTACTAGTTTTATGTTCGATTTATGTAATCATTTATATTTACAATTATATTGTTTATAATTGTAATCTCCAAGGAGCAGGGCCCTCCTATCCCTCTTGTATAGAACTATATCGTTGCTGTATTGTCTCCCTTTATATTGTAAAGCGCAGAGCAAACTGTTGGCGCTATATAAGTCCTATATAATAATAATAATAATTGCTATTGTTTATATACAATAGCTTTTTGTATATATACACGCTCTATATGATATTTTTGTAATTGTCTATATTTAAAATGATTTTGTTTATACTTGCTATTGTTTATATTTGTAATTTGTGTATATGTTTATAATGTGTGTTTGTGTGTAAATATACAGTATATATATATATATATATATATATATATATATATATATATATATATGCATATATCTTACATACATATATACACACAGTGTGTGTGTATGTATGTATATATATATATATATATATATATATCTATATCTATATATGTGTGTGTGTATGTACATATCCTTTAGATTGTAAGCTCCACCAGCAGGACCCTCATATTCCTTCTGTACTGAAATGTATTGTAATTGTACTGTCTCCCTTATATTGTAAAGCACTGCGCAAACTGTTGTCGCTATATAAATCCTGTATAAATATATATATATATATATATTTATGTGTGTGTGTGTGTGTGTGCATGTGTGTGTGTATATACAGTGGGGAAAAAAAGTATTTAGTCAGCCACCAATTGTGCAAGTTCTCCCACTTAAAAAGATGAGAGAGGCTTGTAATTGGCATCATAGGTAGACCTCAACTATGAGAGACAAAATGAGAAACAAAATCCAGACAATCACATTGGCTGATTTGGAAAGAATTTATTTGCAAATTATGGTGGAAAATAAGTATTTGGTCACCTACAAACAAGCAAGATTTCAGGCTCCCACAGACCTGTACCTTCTTCTTTCAGAGGCTCCTCTGTCCTGCACTCATTACCTGTATCAATGGCAGCTGTTTGAACTTGTTATCAGTATAAAAGACACCTGTCCACAACCTCAAACAGTCACACTCCAAACTCCACTATGGTGAAGACCAAAGAGCCGTCGAAGGACACCAGAAACAAAATTGTAGACCTGCACCAGGCTGGGAAGACTGAATCTGCAATAGGCAAACAGCTTGGTGTGAACAAATCAACTGTGGGAGCAATAATTAGAAAATGGAAGACATACAAGACCACTGATAATCTCCCTCGATCTGGGGCTCCACGCAAGATCTCACCCCGTGGGTCAAAATGATCACAAGAACGGTGAGCAAAAATCCCAGGACCACACAAGGGGACCTAGTGAATGACCTGCAGAGAGCTGGGACCAACGTAACAAAGGCTACCATCAGTAACACACTACGCCGCCAGGGACTCAGATCCTGCAGTGCCAGATGTGTCCCCTTGCTTAAGCCAGTACATGTCTGGGCCCGTCTGAAGTTTGCTAGAGAGCATTTGGATGAACCAGAAGAGGATTGGGAGAATGTCATATGGTCAGATGAAACCAAAATAGAACGGTTTGGTAGAAATACAACTCGTCGTGTTTGGAGGAGAGAGAATGCTGAGTTACATCCAAAGAACACCATACCTACTGTGAAGCATGGGGGTGGCAACATCATCCTTTGGGGCTGTTTCTCCACAAAGGGACCAGGACGACTGATCCATGTACAGGACAGAATGAATGGAGCCATGTATTGTGAGATTTTGAGTGCAAACCTCCTTCCATCAGCAAGGGCATTGAAGATGAAACGTGGCTGGGTCTTCCAACATGACAATGATTCCAAACATACCGCCCGGGCAACAAAGGAGTGGCTTTGTAAGAAGCATTTCAAGGTAATGGAGTGGCCTAGCCAGTCTCCAGATCTCAACCCCATAGAAAATCTTTGGAGGGAGTTGAAAGTCCGTGTTGCCCAGCGACAGCCCAAAAACATCACTGCTCTAGAGGAGATCTGCATGGAGGAATGGGCCAACATACCAGCAACAGTGTGTGCCAACCATGTGAAGACTTACAGGAAACGTTTGACCTCTGTCATTGCCAACAAAGGATATATAACAAAGTATTGAGATGAACTTTTGATATTGACCAAATACTTATTTTCCACCATAATTTGCAAATAAATTCTTTCCAAATCAGCCAATGTGATTGTCTGGATTTTTTTTCTCATTTTGTCTCTCATAGTTGAGGTCTACCTATGATGCCAATTACAGGCCTCTCTCATCTTTTTAAGTGGGAGAACTTGCACAATTGGTGGCTGACTAAATACTTTTTTGCCCCACTGTATATATATGTGTGTGTGTGTGTATATATATAATGTGTGTGTGTGTATATATAATGTGTGTGTGTGTATATATATTATATATATATACACACACATATATATGTTTTATATTATATTTATGTAATTGTTTATGTATAGAATCACCTTGCTTATAATTGTTACTGTTTATATTTGTAAGAGTTTATATTTATTTTGTATTTTATGTTATATTTGCATTTATTATATTATATTTAATTGTAATATGGAATTTTTTCATATTTATCCTTGTTTCTAATTGTATTGTTTATATTTGTTATAAAGTAGTTTATAATTGTACTGTCTGGTTGTATTGAATATAGTTAGTTTAATGGTGGCCACGTACAAGTCATTCAATTATCTATTTCTTTTTCTGATCGGCCTCTCCTATAGGATCATAAAAATCTACAGTTTTTTATGTACTTGTATTCTCTCTCTATCAGAGTAGAACTATTTGGCAAAATTTGCCCCAGTTGGCCATCACAGCTATCACAAGGCACAGAGCCACTCTGACTGGCTCTGTGCATTTTTATTATCATTATTATTATTATACAGGATTTATATAGCGCCAACAGTTTGCTCAGCGCTTTACAATATAAAGGGATTGTAAGCTGTAACGAGCACCAAATTGTATTGTAACTGTAATGTCTGCCTTCATTGTAAAGCGCTGTGCAATCTGTTGGCACTAAATAAATCCTATATAATAAATCCTGTATAATAAAGGGAGACAATACAGCAACAATACAGTTTCAATACAAGAGGGTTAGGAGGGCCTTGGAGCTTACAATCTAATAGGGAGAGGATGG